TTGGGATTTGTGGGAGGGATGAAGCTTTGCATTTTTCAGTGATGAGCGTTCGGGGGACTTTATCTTGAACATTCTTCCTGTCCTCAGGCAAGCGAGCAGAAAAGGCACCATGCAGAGATGCAGGAGATACTGGAGCAATGGGAAGAAGAGAAGTCAGAGAGAGAGCGGGAGCATGAGAATGTGCTGATGGAGATGAGACAGAAAGTTGCCACCCTGCAGGCTCAACAAGAGGAGGAACGAACAAGATTTGAAAATGCCAAGCGAGAGGTAATGGTTGTGAAAGGAGAATTGGTATGATTTTTTGCAAGACTGCAGCTGTGGGACATGGCAGGATAGGGGGCTGTGTGGAGCATGCCCTCCGTGTCTTCTCCACTGGATATGGAGGGGTGAAAGGTGAACGGGGCTATCTTTGGGACCAGGAATGAACTGTGTCATAGGAACCCAGGCAGAAACATCAGCTTTCAGTTGAGATTTTTGTGCAGCTCTTGTGTTCTATTTTTGTAAGATTTACCCCAGAGTAGCTTCACTGTTCTCTTACTGGTCCTCTTTTGGTGTGTGCTGGCAGGTGCTCATAGCCAAACTGAGCTTGGAGGACTTTTCTTTTGTGGGCATGGGGAGGGCGCAGCAGTAACTCTGACAAGAAAAGAATCTTTGTAAAGACTCGTCAGGAGTATTTCTGAACAGTGACCCAGAGGTGTCTTCTGGGCTGTGTTTTAAGTCACTTGCTGGGAAGCTGTGTCTCCCCCGGGACAGACAGAGGCCCAGGGCAGCAGCAGCAGCCGAGTGCTGTGGGAGCGTGTGAGCCCATCAGTCTTTGGCTCTTGCCACACAGATGTTGCAGAACAAATGTGAACCCCTCTGCTCTTTCCTTCTGTGCAGGTCCTGCTGGAGATGCAGAATGAGAAGAGGGCTTTATCAGAGACACTGCTCCAAACTCAGGGAGAGCTGAGCCGAGCCTGCCAGCAGATCCAGCAGCTCAGGCAGGAGGCAAAAGAGCAGCAAGAGAAGGGGCAGGTAAGTCTGAGTRGGCAGGGAACAGAGTGCAGGCCAGTGACAAGGGCACAAAAGGCAGGTCCTGGGACTGAGGAGGCAAGGGCTGCTTCAGGCCCTTGGAGCACAGGGCCTCCTAAACTCCAGAGCTCAGCCCCAGGAAGGAAGGCTGGAAATGGAAGCAGAGCTGGGTAGAGAAGCCAAAAGAAGTAGCAGAAGGAACGGGATTGTGRGACAGCATGTAGAAAAACCTGATCCTGAGGGCACATCCCAGGAAGTTGCTCTGCATTTTGTTGCCAGACCATCGAGGCAAAGCTGCAAGCTGAGCTGGAGGAAGCTCAGAGTGAAATCCAGGAAATGCAGAAAAGGCACAAGAAAGAACTCCAAGGCACCAAAGAAGAAATGAATCTCCTCCTTGAGCAGAGGGAGGCTCTACAAAAGCAGGTGAGTTAAACAGTAGTGGCACCACAGTCATCCAGCAGGGGGTCTGTGCCCTTTTGCTTTTCCATGGCAGAGCAGCAGCTGATGGGATGATCCTTGGGGTTGCTTCGTGCTGCAGCCTCCATGACAGCTGCTGTGAGGAACCCTCAATGCTTTTCTGAATCTCAGCTGCTGCCCTGGACAGGTGGGCTGGTCCTCTGGGCTGTTGGGCAGCAACCATCAGCATGGATTCCTGCTGGCCTCTTGCTGCTGGCCTTGGTTTGGGAGGTGCTTTTTCAGCTGCTCTTGGTGAGGCATTTACAGACTGCAACAAGTTGTCTGTATCCATTTTGACTGTGGTGCTTTCAGGACAGGGAGAAACGGAAAATTGTCCTTTGCCTTTCCTCACAGTCTCTGCTGTGGCTGACAGTGACAGGGTGTGGCTGTAGCCTCTGACTGCTTTGTTCTC